TGACATGTTCGTCAGGAAGTGGTTCGTGACATGTTCGTCAGGAAGTGTTTCATGACATGTTCGTCAAGAGACGCTTCATGACATGCTCCTCAAGAGGTGCTTCATGACATGTTGGTCAGGAAGTGTTTCATGGCATGTTCGTCAGGAAGTGATTCATGACATGTACGTCAGGAAGTGGTTCATGACATGTTCGTCAAGAGGTGCTTCATGACATGTTTGTCAGGAAGTGATTCATGACATGTACGTCAAGAAGTGATTCATGACATGTTCGTCAAGAGGTGCTTCATGATATGTTCGTCAGGAAGTGCTTCATGACATGTACGTCAGGATATGTTCGTCATGAAGTGTTGTATGATATGTATGTTAGGAGGTAGTTCGTAGTATGTTCGCTAAGAGTTCGTTAAGAAATATGTTGTGACATCTACATCATGAGATATTCAACATATATATTTGTTTATATGAACATATCGAATCAACTAATAGTTTTTTTAATGTCTGTTTGATATTAACATAATCAATATTCAATATCATTATCCATATCGAGTAAGCATACTATCAACTGTAGTTGAAGCAGAAGCAACGCTTGTCGCTTGAGCGCTCATGTGCTTTTCCTCGTCAAGTTCTGTTCATGTAATGTAGCAATCAAATTATGAATTATGAATTCATAATCTGTAACGCATGTTATAGTCACAGAAAAAACTTCATCATTGCAATCTGATAAGGTTTGGTTTTGGTACAGGACGATTGATCTGTACAAAACTTCTAATCGTCGTTACCTGCACAAACCTGTACAATCTGAACATAAATCTATACAAGTGAAAAGTGAAACGGCGAACGGAATAATTCCAACACAATTGTTGGAATCATCATATGGGCGATTCCGACTATCGGGTCGCTGGCTGATGGTCCATGGGTGTATTTCATAATCATGTAGAATTATATCATATAAGTTTTTTGATTTTCTATTTGTTTCTATTTGGTTTTCTATTTGGTATTCTATTTGTTTCTGAATTATGTGAATAGATCTTTTCGACTCAGCCCGCCAGATCGAAGGGTGAAGGTGAAGGTACGATTACAACAACAAAAAATCGACTACCGATCGTTGTTCGGACTGCTGGTAGTTAAACATATATATACATAAATATTATAAACACTGACAAAGGAAATAGAATGGTCACAGAAAAATAATATTGATCATTTATAAAAGTCATAGTCATGAGTCATAGTAATATGTTTTAAGACTAAGATATTAAATCTATTCATCAAGATATATCCAGGTGATGATTCATCAAGATATAAACAGATGATGATGATGATCTTCAACATTTCAACTACCAGCAGTGATAGAATGCGAATGCAGTGATGCAGTGATGCAGTGATCTACACTGTACAATCTACATTGCGTATGATCAGAAGGACGACGAATTACACGCTGTATACGATGTCACAAAAGTCAGCAATTGGCAATTGATTGAATCGATTCGTTTTAGCGATCGTTTTTGTATGTACTATGAATGTAAATAGTTTCATCTATCACTATCATATATGTCATATATTCTGTGTGTATACTTTACTAAAAATCCAAGAATACAATATAAAAATAAAATTAACATGATTCTAATTGTGACGTCTACTCATGTCACATCAAATAAGATATTTATCAAAATCATAATCATGATATCACACATATAGTCATATAGTCATAATAGTCAGTCATACAATTCATTCCGTAGCAAACAGGGATGATATTGCTCACATATAAGATAAAAGCAAAAAAACCCTTCTGATATGACTTCAGGTGTACCAGACTGCCAGACTGATACTGGTTCTGCTGACTTTCAGTCATTCAGTCACTGATAACTCTCGTCCTTGCAAACCCTACAAGGTCCTCATTAGGTCCTTGTCTCTTGTACCCCGAGAAAAAGAATTAATTAAGCCTTTGCAACATATCTTCCATTTTGATCCTTGGACAATTCTCTCTCCAGACTCAAAGTTCTTATAACTAATCCCAAATCAATGGTAAGTCAAAGTGTAAACAATGTAAACTAGTGTTACCATATCCATATCTTATTTTATCATTTTATCATATGTTTCTTATTTTGAAATTTGAATAGACAAAGGTTTATAAGTTTTACTTAAGTTTTACTTAGGTGAAGGAAGGTCTATATAATTAGAAATTAAATCTTTATCTATGAATCTACACCTTACTAAAACTAAAGCTAAAGTAATAAATTTAATTAATATAAAAATATATATTACAGTATAACGAATTCAAATTAAATGTTACAATTGTAACAAAAAAATATTCAAATGTGAATCATAGTCGTTAAAACAAGTTGTTAATAGTAATGAATTAATATTATACCTCTGTAACTTCATTCTACAAACTTCTAATTATCAAATTGCCCATTAATCATTTATCTATTTTTCAATTTGTATGTATTGACATGTCATACTGGCATATCGTCAAATATTCATAAGCCTTAATAAGTGTAATCTTATCTAAAATAAGATTAATAAGATATCTTCATCTTCTTCAACTTCTTCTAATCTTCTCGACAATTTTAAGACAGTCCGATTCCCGATATAGCTAACAGTCCCAGATTACTTTCAATCGAATTACTTGAATAAATTAACAATTTGTAACTTATAACTTTTACCAGTTAGTAACATAATATAGAGCATTCAAAAGATTCTATAGTATGACAGTATTCAGTATTCTGCTACCGGCTACCGGTCTAAACTGTTTGCTATTACTACTCTTCTGGCTCTTCTGGTAGTTATGATAGTTCTAAATTCTATTGTCTATTGTTCGTTGCATTGCATTGAATTAAAATATATTATAATTATCATCATTATATTACAAGAGTTCGAAAGAATATAAATATTCAGATTTTTTGTGAAGTAACAAATTAAACAAATTATGTTATTGGTTTATTGGTTTATCTAATTTATCTAAACAAATCTCGAACATTCTAGGCTCTACTCTACTCTATTGAAACCAATTAGTTCCGGGACGGTAAGTCCGGTAAGTCTGAGTCTGGGAGAGTTGATTTGTTGACCTGGTAGTGGCAGTAGTTAAAAAATGTAAAGCACTAGGAAAGCGCTACGCTCTCGACTGCAAACTCTTCACTCCCTATCAGCTGGTACGGTAAGGATCCATTCGTCGTTCCAAAAAATATATTCATATAGGTTCATTATTGTTGTTTGGGATTTAAGATTCCTTCAAGATTCCAAGAACGAGTGAATAAGATGGATTCATTGATTATTGATTGATTCATTGACTCATTGATTCAGATTCACGTTCCAAGAAAATATGATGATTATGATTATGATTATATATGATTGTTAACTAACTAACTAACTTTTTATTCAAGTAGAATCAATGGTCCAATGACTCCAATGACAATGACGATGTTCTTCATTGAATGGATCCTTTACAAAAAGCGCACAGCGTTTGTAAGCTTGATTCTACTCCACTGTGCCCAGCAAGTCCAGAGAGTCTACCAGGTACGGATTCAGGTTTGATGGTAGGAAATTTCATCATCAAACCTGATGGAACAAAACGATCGATATTCGCAAAGGCCTGGATCGAACATGATAAATGACACGGAAGTAGGCAAAGAGAACACACGAAAATTGGTTCACCTTCTTCATCTGGGTTTTCAGACGAAGACGACGCTATCGTTGGAATGGCTGTGGCTGAATCTGTTGAAACACTTTGGGCTGTAGGAGAAGCTGTAGCAGTACAAGGAGGTTGTGATCTTGATCGGTCAGCAGGAGTTCTCGATGATGTAGAAATCTTGTTGCAGCATTGATTACACCATACACATGGATCGATGGTAAGGGACTCAGAATGTCCTGCATTTTGTCTTGTCATCGCAGCATCATACATCTTATTTAGATGCGCAGCTAGTGGTGGCAAATCAGGTCGACTTTTTGGACCTTCTTTGTGAGGTCTCAGATGAATCGTATTCAGAATGATTTCGCAGTTAGTAAAGTCCATAGCCGAATGTCGGGCAGGTACTAATGCAAGCACTTTACCATCTTTCACATCGCAAACTCGTCCTGTACGAAGTTTTACGTCTTGCCATGCCACAACCAACAAAGTCGCACAACCGTTGACATTGTATGATGAACATTTAGCCAACTTCTTCTTCGTGGAATCTATAGGATGATGAGTTACAAACTTCGAAGCCTCAGACTCTGTTGCAACATTGTCAGCTTTAGTGTCATATGTTGTTGAGTATGTCGCGACCAGAGACATCTCATGTGGCCATAGACCTCCAGGTGTGGATGTTGTATTGTTGTCATGAACTCTGTCTTCAAGGGCTTTGTGACTGGTTTCACATGCAGATATCCACAACTCAACAGTTCGAATGAAACATATCTTCTCCTTTCTATCCTCGGACTCTTGGGGATCACAACACTGACTTGTTGGATCATGTTTCTTGCGTGTGTCTATGTCACCGTCACCGTTAAGATCATCAAATCTCACCGTTCCAAAATCGTTTGATGCAGTTGGAGCGTCAGAGTCGTTGATACCGGAGTCGATACCGATACCCAAATCCTTCAAGAGTTGACCTTGAAGCAACGCTTCTACATCGTCACTTGGATTTCTCGAGGTTCTACAGTTTCAGCGATGCTAGCCTGACACGACTGTGAAGGTGATTTCGAATAATGGTTTTAATGTATGAAGTTTATTCAATCTTCGGGGCTTAGTTTCAGACGATTTCTGGCAAGATAAGATACTAACAGACTAACAGACTAATAACAGACTACTTAGTAGATCTGATCAGATCACATCTTAAGGTTAAACCAAATTGATCATGTTTTGAAGTGATTGATATCTTGGATATCAGAACGACGCGATTCATGTTTAACCTATAAATCTATCAACTATATTTTACAGTTTACATTTTACATCATACCATATAGATCATATCATATAGTGATATAATATAATCAAATGGTCAAATGATAATAACATTATGTTTACGTTACGTTATGTTGTTTATTATTTCTGTAAAAGGATACGGTCTGACTGAGGCCTCCAAAGATGAAACATTTTCGTGATCTCGTTTGTCGAACAGATCTGCGCATATATCATCGTTATCTTCATTTCGCCAGTCTTCAAAATGATCTTGCGCTTCATCTATATCACCCCCAGCTTCGAGAGCAGCTAATGCAATTGCTACATCGTCCTCCAAATCATCTTCCCCTCCTCCTTCAAGAGCTGACTCTGACCCTGTAGCCAATTTCACAGCTAAGGCCACTAACTTGGATTTTCGACTGCGACGTCCCTGCCCCCCATGAATGTCATCATCATGAGTATCATCGTCATGGTTGTCCTCCATATCGGAATCCAATGAGTCCAAGGAGTCTTTGGTGATAGTTTTCTTCCGCCTTTTATTGTTCGACTTGGATACTGTCACTGTCAGTAAAGGGAACTCATCCTTACTGTTGGCTACTGCAAATAAAGTGCAAGTTTCCAAACAGTAGCACCAACGTAGTTTGTGTCGAAAGATCTTGGGAGTGAGTTGAGCCTCGGTGAAAGTGAAGCGTAGTCAGCGTAGTCGACACTTTAGTGGGTTCTGTTGAGTTCTATTGTGTGTTGTGTTTGTGTCCTGCTTTGAAGCATGTTCTATTTTCTTCTATAAGAAGAATAAATGATATATGGACTATATGGATTGGATTTGGATTGGATAAACGTATTAATTGTAAATCGTTTATGTATAAACAGTAGATTTACTATTAACTATACATTACACACTACATAATCATTACATATGTCATATGAATTCTAATTAAAATAAAAATATAGTCATCAGTCATTAGTCATTAGTCATCTGATGTCTGATATAGGTTGGATTGGTTAAACTTCAATCATAGCATGTATATCGTATATAGTATACTATTAGAATACCATATTTGTAATAGCCTGGAATAACTTTCTCTACTTCTTACAAAATACATCTGAATCTTGTTCTCCAAAATAACTAACGAATATTTAGATGAGTCTGATTCTACAAAAATTCTACAAGACTCTACTCTACAAGTCTTTACTCGTCGCTTTGATGTTACTGTTCTCTTTCTCTCTCTCTCAACCTTCCTCTGTTACATTTGTTACAGTCATACTGTCATACCGTCATACCTGATACGTTTTGACGCATGGCGCATGGCTCACCATTTACACAACAAAGAACATGCAAAATGCCAAGGTACCTTATCACGTTTGTCATCTGCTATCAACTGTTCATAGACAACAGCAGCAAACCAATCGGTGCTGGGTATTGCACACAAAGGCTTCGTTGGGAAAAGCAAAAAATCAAACTCTGTACCCGGAGGACTACAACGTTCTGCGGCTTGAACGAAATGATCCCGACAAGATGTGACATGTACAACTTGTAGCTGTGTCAACATCGCTAGGCTGTAGTTCTTGTCAGAAATCATCCAAGCTGTGGAGAGAAGCCGTTCACCAGAGGAATCTTTATCAGTAAGAGACCCCAGTGTGATACAAGTCTCTGCAGACATTGGCTGCCTTGTACGGTGAAGACGTAGGCTTTGAACCTCAGCAAGATCAATGGTCGGATGTATGAAGGACCATGGGAATGAGATAGCCAGTCAGATATCAAATGAAATAACCAATAATCTCCTGAACCTCTAAGAAAACTTTGGCTCTAATAATTCTTTCTCAATCCTATGACATAGACTCACAGGACCCATAGGACACATATGATTCAACAAAGTTTATATTTATGTGATTTATGTGATTATGAAATGAATTAATGTCAATGACTCAATGACAGTCAATATCAGACCAGATGTGGTCAAACGGTTAGAGACGGCTAAATGGCTAAAGGCCTAAAGGCTAAAGGTTTAAGGTCAAAGGCCAACGGCCAAAGGTCAAAGTCAAAGGTGAAAATATATTAGCTATCTGATCACGTCCTCCTGAGTAGCCCACAGCCCACAGACGAATTGTCAAGTTTGGAAACATAAGCCCATGCTTTGGCATCATCGGAAATCTCGGTGAGAATAAGTTCGTTCGCGGATTGCAAATCGGTTATGATCTCCTGCTTCTTCGCTGTAGCTACCCCCCATGAAGTGATACTACCTTTGTCTGGAAGTGTGAAACCAGAATCCGAATCTCTCTGTCGTTCAGCATCAATGGATTGGGCGAAGCGGTCTGGGTCAGAGAGAATCTTGCCAAAGGCATCTTGGTAGTTCTCCACAGAGTCCTGATTTAATCTAAAGAATCTGCAACCTAGTGTCCACAGTCACTAGTCACAGTACTAGTCTTAGTACTAGTCACAGTCACAGTAAAATAAACATAACAAAACAACAACATGTCGATTGGATAATTGAAATGATTCCGAGGCCGAGGACCGATGACTGACTGATGACTGACTATCTCTGAGTCACTGACTGGCTGTCTTATTCTTTGAAATGTCTGGGTTTACGGTGTGTGACTTTGTGAACAACATGAATTATTTCTGTATGTCGTCTGGTCTGTATGTATGTAGTCCATAGTCTATATCTGAGTCCATTTCTTTATATTTTTCTTTATCGACTTATCGACTTGTGAAATGAATGTCCAGTTCAGTGAACACTAGTTCAATAGAGTCTATAAAGTCTATAGAGTCTATAGACGAGTCTATAGAGTAGTTTCTGAAACAGAGTAATATTATCTTACAACTTGTAAGACTTGTAAGGCTTGAAAGTTGTGAGACAAACGCAGAGTATAAAGTAATAAAAGTATAAGGTTTTAAGGTTTACAGTAAAGTAAAGTAACATATTTCTTGTAAAAGAATATCCTGAAGTTAATGTAAATAATAGGTAAGGAAAAAATAATACTGGTAGCAGTAATAATAGTAGCAGTAGTAGTAGCAGTAGTAGCAGTAGTAGCATTTGCAATCATCGTAAGTCGTACGTAAAGTCGTACGTAAAGTTAAGATGGTTTGAATGGTTTGATGGTTTGTTGATTTGTTGATTGAACCAATCCACTCCGAATCCACTCCACTGGTCCACCGTCTGCCGTACCTGATTCTTATCATAGTGTTCTGTCAATAAATAACTATATTATATTATATTACAGACCAGACAGACAGACAGAATCTATAGCCTCAGCCTCAGCCGCCTCAGACTCAGACTGATCCATGACAACCATGTGCCGGTGACTCTGTGACCTATACTTAAACTTATGTTTTCATTTTCAAGTTTCAAGTAATTGAAATTACTCTACAACTCTACAACTCTACAGCTCTACAACAACAACAACAACAACAGCAACAACAACAACAATAACTACTACTACTACTTACTACCACAAACTACTACTACTACTACTACCACCACTACTACTACTACTATTACTACTACTACTACTACTACACTACTACTGCTACTGCTGCTACTACTACTTGCTATTACTTACTATTACTGCTAAACATTAAAATGTTGTACGTCGGACCAAAACTAACCAAAACATAACATGACTGCACTCATGATTCATGACTCATGATTCATGACAGATAACAGGCAACTGCGGCAACCAGTCACAAACACGACAAACATAAACATAATTTGTTGAGATGATAATCGTCGTGATAATGATTCATGATAATGATCACCCAGATCCAGTGGGACCCACGACTCCACACCCAAAATCAACAATTGAAAATTAACTTGTCCGTGTCCTGAACCATACATAGAGCCTGCTTCTTCACCTGAGACCATTTCGATGGAGCACCTCGAATTCCCACTCGGAGTTCCTTCTTACAATTGGACCTTGCCGATAGCAACGGTAACCCTATATTGCGACATCTCTGCACAATCGATTTGATGAGGGAGTTGTGCCCCTCATTGATGGCGACATCACCCTTCGCAGTCGCTGCCACACATGACATAATCGAAAACAATATTGGACCACATCTACCCGAAGCCGCCATCTCTTCAAACTCTTCAAAGGCAAAAACACGTAGTTTACGGGCGTTAGCCTCTAGGTATTCATCTTTGCAATGCAGAATGAACTGAGCGACTGATTTCCTCATAGGACATTGAACCTCTGGTCTTTCAAATGCTATCCAGAATAACGCTAAAGGTAGTCTTTGAGTATCTCTGATGATCCGTCGTTGATACGATGCATGATGGTGACAATTCAAAGCTACACCGAGTTCCAGGAGGTCAGCCAATTCCAAACCATCGGGAAGCGCCCCTTCACACCCAAACAGAGTGAGGACAATCAATTTTGCCCATGTGTGTGAGTTTGATGCCATCAAACCCGATATTTCCAGACTGATTTCTTTTGCTTTTCCACAAGTCATATGGGAGAGCATATTGCAAACATTGCTCGTACGAACAAAAGCAAAGTGATGTGTCAAAGGTTCGTGCATTCGGGCAACGATGTTGAGGGCCAACCACCAAACAGGACTCAGAATGGCTGACATAGCATCTTGCCGCCAGCGACCCAATCGCAAACGGAACTCCTGATATTCTTCATTTGACGGATCATCCAACACCTGATCAGTTGAACAGCGGACATATTGATGATTGATTGATTGATCTCTCTCCGACTCTCTCCTTGAAGTCTTGGGAAATAATTTGTATAGCTACAGCCGCAGCTGTAACTTAATTCTAGCAATCTCTAAACCTCTTTGGCTCCTAGACTCCTAGATCCCTAGACTAATATAGATAAATAGATAAATATGAGCTAATAGGCTACTAAGGCTACTAATAGACTAATAGACTAATAGACTTCTGACCTAATAAACTAATACTAGACTATTGACTATAGACTAAAGACTAATAGACTAATAGACTCTATGACTGCATGACTACTCATTGAATGTGACTATGACAATTATGACAATGACAATGACCATTCCTGGATTCCTGGATTAAGAGTAAGTTTTTTTAACTCTGTTGAAACTAACTACATGCGTCACCAGTTCTTAATTCATTTTTAATTATTTAAAAACAAATGTCGTAATAGTTGTAAAGCTGGCTGTATAGATGCAAACTAAGTATCATAATCATAATAAATCATAACCGTTTAAAGTAAACAAAAATTGTAGTCGTCAGTCTTACTATCATCAATTTCTTTTGTGACAATATGTACTGTAACAAACATAACAAATGAAACAATATAACCTTGAGGTACCTGACGGTACCTGAGGTATACGTAATATGTATGAGCCTATGAATCAACAGAATCAACTAACTATTATCAATTATCTATCCGACTTGCATGTTTGGACTCGGATTTTATTTCTGTGGACTGTGGAACTTAAACATAGTTCCTTTTAGCTTTGACAACGTTGGACCTTTGACTCAGACCAAAACTAGGCCCAGGTTAGGAGTCCCTAGGTTCCTAGATCGTAGGTACACGTCTCTACGAGTCTAAGAGTCCGCCTATCAACTATCAACTAAAAGATAGCCCAGCACCGCGCCCAAAGCCCAAAGGCCCAGGAGCTATCTATCTATAGACTAACAGACTTGGTGACATTCTAGACTCTAGACCCGATGCCGATACCCGGCTAACCTCGTCTCGAACGATTGCCTTTGCGCCCTTTGCGCCATTATCGCCGCCAGCATCACCACGCTCACAATCATCCCCACCTGTAGTCAGGTCAGACAAGTCAGGTAGGTACGGTAAGGACTAAGGAATTGAATCGAATCGGTAATTTGGTTTGGTTTGACTTTGACATATATATTTTTAGTTGGACCGTGCGGCAGTGTGGTAGTTTAAATGGTAGTAGTCAGTCAGCCAGTCAGCTCAGCAGTAATCACTATCATGAATCATAGTGAATCATAATCATAGTATCAGATCGTCCTCACATTAAAAAAAAAAGTATGATACTACTGATACTACTGACTACTGATGATTCCCATTGTCCACCACTACTACTAGTTCATAAAGAATGGTCATGGTCATGGTCAATGGTCAATGGATGGTAACTATGATTGGGAATAATGGTGATGCAGAATTTCACATATCAATTTGGACATGAATTTCATGAATTAAGATAGTTTGATATCTGTGATGATTTGATACCGGAGATGATGATGATGATCATGATAACGTGCACTAGCGCACTAGTGAACTTATTGATGATGATGAGTGATTGGACTGAATGATAATGATAATGATAATGATAATGACAATGATAATGACAATGATAATGATAATGATAATAGTGACAGTGATAGTCAGTGATAGTCTGTATGTCTGTATTACAACAATGGTAGTAGTAGTAGTTGTTGTTGTTATTGTTATTGTAATGAACGACGTTCTGTCTGATCAACTGATCAGCCTGATGATGATTAATGATGATGAGAATGACGATTAATCGTATCGGATCGTGATTCATTTACAAACGTTCAAGATTCATGATGATGATGCTGATGATGATGATGATGATGACAATGCCAATAACAATCATACCAACCAATGATAACTACCATCATGAGAATCATGAGACGAATCATGAGAATGAACGTGATATTCATGGTTCAGTTCAGTGTAACTGTAACTATAGTAATACTATACTATAATTTACTATAATTCATAATGATGAAGATGAAGATCAGCAAAACCATGATGATTTTACTGACTGATGGTATTGATGATCATGCTGAGGCTGAGGCTGTTATACGTACACAATATTCTTGTGTCTGTGTCTGTGTAGATAACAGACATAACAGAAGTAGTTTGAAGTATACACATAGTTACACAGTAACTAAACGTATGTTTATATGTACAAGTAGGGATGCGACATTAATCAGACATTACCTCGATCGCGGTGATGATTCTAATGTTAATGACACTGGCAATGATACTATGTGTGTTGTTGTATCGTCTTTACATTTACCATTTACAATAATACAAATTTATCTTTTGATGATTTGATGATACTGAAATACTGGTTGAAAATATTGATCGATTGAATCGATTGATGAGTTGATAAATTGATTGAATACACTGATAGATATTCTTTCACATTCCTGGGATTCCTGAGCAAGTTTGTAATAGTTGAACCAATCATTACAATCATAAATCATAAATAAAAAAATTGATGATAATGATACTGATTAATGATTCTGATTAAATTGTATCATAGTAAATAAAACGATGTTATGATTTGGGTGATGATGACCACGATGAATAATGAATGACTCACGATGATAATGTTTCAGTAATTATTCATGGACTCATGGACCATGGACCATGGACTCATGATTCTCATGATAATAAACAATCAATCGATACTCTGGCAATACTCTGGTAAGTTAGATATTTTCTTATAATTAAAACTGTTTTATCATTCGAATCATTCGATTGTCATTTGATGGTTGAGTCCAGTCCAGTCAGTTAATTTGTTTTGATTTACGTATGGTTCAATGGTTGATAATCACATGAATTGATGATCATTGATCATGAGATCATGAGACGAACTTATGGTTCAGGAGGGTGATGGTGATGGTTGATAACTGAAGATGATGACTCATGATGACTGATGATAGATAGTGATGATGACGATGATGATGATGATAATCATGACCCGGGTCAGGGTCATCATAATTCCTATCGATATCGACTTTTGACTTTCCAGCGAGAAACAAAAATAACTAGAAGTACAACTACGAATAGTAAAAATTACCTCAGAAATTTCATTGTATATTTAGATAGAATATTAATCATTATCGCTTTTATTTTCGTTTTGTTTTCATATCAGAAAAAAGGATCAACTTAATTTAAAATGAAAGAATAATTTTATTTATAATTAAGTGTGTGTCAGAAAAAATAAAAATATATTATAATGATAACTAACGTAAATGTATCATATATCTATCAAAGAAAGAACTAAAAGGAAGGTATCGAAGGTTAAATGAGTAGTTAATGAATGATTAGTTAATGATGATGGCGATGATGATGATGATGATTGATAATGATTCGATGATGAAACATTTGAAATCACGACATCAGAGACATAACAAATGGTTATTCAATATTCAACAACAAGTATTCTTGGCTGTTAGCTCAATTTAACTCTGACTCAGACTCACCTCTGATTCATGTGATTGATTCGATGATTAGGTATTATCGACTTGTTAAATATCGTACTTACTTATGAGACTGATTAATGTTTGTTTTTTAAAACAATGTAACAATGAGTGGTTAAATGGTTAAGTATTGTTCAGGCACGCTGAGGAGTCGAGGAGTCGAGGAGTGAGAAGTGGGATTGGGTCCGGGTATCAAACGATAGTCACGATAGTCGATAGTCGATAGTGTTGAGGCAGTGTTAGGGCTTAGTTCTTACTACTTGGTATTTAGACTCAAAATGTCATAACTACAAGGTTATGTTAGATCATATCTTGAAGGCTAAAAGTATAAAGCTCATAAAGATCTAACATAACAAAAAATACTAAGTCTGAATCGTCATCGTCATCGTCAAATCGTCAAACCGTCAAACAAAACCCCCAAAGGTTTGACTGGCCTGTGTCCTCGGTCGATTTGACGACGCTCAAATGCAGAATGTCGTCCAATGGGAGAATTTCGCCTCAGCTGGAGTTGTGATTGGAATGGAGTGGAAATGATAGAGACTCTAGTGGAGGAGGGACCAGATAAGATACTCCCAACGCCAGTGGAAGGAAGAAAGAATCTACTTGGAGGAAGTGGTGGGTGAAAATTATAAATACATAAATGGCATAAGCCATAAGCCGCATAAGTAAGTGAGAGTGAGTGGATCAATCCTGGGTGAATGGTAAATGGTAGTCTATGCATGGTAATGGTCGACTAATAAAACAATAAGAGCTCTCATTAACCGACCGATACTTATATACAAAGTCAGTGAGGTATAGGGCAAATAACAGTAGCAGTAGCATTTGAAACTGCAATTAAAAAATGATACATGATACAGGATAAATAGAATTAAACAATGAAACAATCGATTCTTGTAATTCTTGTTCCATAATATCATACTCGTCCCTGACCAGTGGAATCAATGCCCTAGTCGGACCCTAATAAATTAGTAAAGCCACCGTCACTCGCGGAGGTAGAGGAGATCTCATCATCAGCAGTCGAAAGAAAAGCAGCTGCTCCAGCCAGATTGAAACCGAATGCAGCCGGAATGACACGGATAATGTTCGTCACTTTCCGTTGAAGTAAGAATTGCTCTACATCAGCAATTGATCCCCATCGACCCGCTACACATTTGGGAATGATTTTTTTGCAATGCGTTATTGCAGAAACATCTCCGAGTTTTCGTACCCAAGTCTTGTAGATCGGTTTGCTGCAGTCCCGCCACGTGTAAGACAATTTTGCGATCGTAGCAAAGTACTTGAAAGGTTTTCCGACATCAGGATCCACGTGTCTCTTAAACCATGAATCAGTGAGGTTCGAGCCTGTTTTCATAATCAGTTGGCAACAATGCATGTAGCAACTAAA